TCGAGTTGCGACGGCAAATGTCCCGGAAGGTCAACAGGTACCTGGTAGCGTTTCAGTGCGTAACTACGCTCAACAGTTGCATCTGGGCTCTAACCAGTGGACTGCATGAAGACATTTTCAAAATTCCCTTCCCCATGGATGGATTGCCGGATGTGCTGAAACAAGCTGTAGATCTAGGCTTTGCGATACTTCTGATCCCTTGGTGCTTTACAATTTGGCACAGCACGACATTGTTCGTTCCCATGTTGAGCATTTTGCACACGGAGCTGGCGATAATCGTTGGCCAGTTTGATGGTCTATTTGAAAAAGTTGTCGCCAATTACGCTCTGGAGCCGAACGATCTGGATCGAGTGTCGACGATTCAGCGGTCACGTTTCTGGGCCGAGCTGGATATGACATTCAAAACTGCCATTTCTCATCATTCCGCGTTCATCAGGTATGCAAATTTTTCAGAATCACTCACAACTTCTAGAATCCGGATGTAGAAGTTTTTTTAATTTCTATTTACAGTAACCTACAGCTACTCAGAAACATATCCAGCCTCAACTTCTTCATATTTCTTTGCTCCAGTGCGTTGGTCATAACATTCAACATATTCCCTTCTATCACATATCCCTCGCTTGAGCATCTGCCTTTGCTACTGTTGGCCCTCCAGTATGTCACCGAAGCCTATCTCTGCTGCACCATGTTTGACAATTTGGAAAATGAGGTAAAGCCCTTGCTTGACACTTACCCAGTTAGATAACACCGATCACTTACAGAACAATCGTATCGCCAATCACGTGTACGTCATCGATTGGCTGTATTCCGTGGGCAAAAGCAGCAAATTGGATCAAGCCCACTGCAAATCGATTCTACAGAATGCGCTCATACTGAACCGACAGATTAATGCAGGTCTCGCCATCCAGGCTGGAGGGATTTTTCCACTTAAACTGATGACGTTTACACAAATGATAAAATCTGTCTATTCACTGCTGACAATGATGGTGCAATCGGTGGCCTAGTGAATGAATTCGTTTGTTCTGTGATTCCTGATGATGATGGTTCCGCCACTTAGCCCTACAAATAATAGTTTAATGAAAATAACTCTTTCAGTTTTGGTAAATTATTAACTGATTCTTCTACAGATATGTCTCCAACACCTTTTGCATACTTTTACTTTCAGCGCCGTCAGAATCCTCAAAGAAGTTCATGGCATCATTCAAGAAGCTTAAAAGTAGTGCTGCGTGCGTTCAACAATGTCAATCGCTATTAAAGGGTGTCCACGATGAAATTACCACACACAAAATTGATTCGCAAAATTCGAGTTTTCATCCGATTGCCATCAAATTTTCAGGGATTGAGAAATAACTATTAAACTTCATTTTACCATTTTACTCGTATTTTATTTACAGTCCATACGCAAATGCCCGCACCTTGGCCTTAACCCCGGCCATAAGATTCTGCACAACCTGTGAATCAACCGTTTTTTGCATGTAAACCCATACTTTCTTCAGTTCCTCGACTGTCTTCACTACCTTAGGTCGTTTAAGAAGGTGCTGCTTCATAATCGCCCAGTACTTCTCGATGGGGCGGAGCTCCGGAGTGTTGGGAGGGTTGAACATTTTCGGCACGAAATTGACCTTATTGTCCGCATACCACTTCAGCACGTCCTTGGAGTAGTGACATGAGGCCAAATCCAGCCAGAAGATTGTTGGGACGTTGTGGGCCTTCAGGAGAGGAAGCAGCCGCTTCTGGAGGCACTCTTTTATGTACACCTGTCCGTTCATCGTGTCCTGGGTCACGAAAGGTGCACTCCGCTTCCCGCACGTGCAGATGGCTTGCCAAACCAGGAATTTCTTCGCAAATTTGGACATCTTCTGAGTGCGGACATGCTCCGGAACGCTGAACTTATCCTTGGCCGTGAAAAACAGGTTGCCGGGGATCTGTTTGAAGTCGGCCTTCACATATGTTTCGTCGTCCATGATGCAGCATTCAACTTTCGTCAGCATGTTGAGGTACAACTTCCTGGCACGGGTTTTGGCGGACTTGTTCTGCTTCTCGTCGCGATTAGGGGCCTTTTGTACCTTGAACGTTCGAAGACCAGCCTTAGTTTTGGCCTTCTGGACAAAACTTCGGCTTAGGTGCAGCTTCTTAGCCACATCCCTAACGGAGGCGTTCGGATTTCGGTTGAAGGCCCCAACTACGCGGTTGTGATTTTTGGTGTTGTACGGAATACTTTTTCCTTCACTTCTGGGCTTCCGATCGGTGGTCAACCGTTCCTCGAACCGCTTAATCACTCGTGACACCGTGGAATTCGCGATTCCCAACGTTTTAGCGATGGAACGATGCGAGAGATCCTTGTTCTCGTGATGAATGCGCAAGATTTTATCACGCACGAGCTGTTCTTTCGACTCCATTTCCGCGAGTTTTGATCACAGGACTTTAAAACTTGCAGGATGTAAATAATGCACTATGAACTAAATCCACCCAAATTTTCATTAAATTCTACCCAACGGTTAAAAAGTTAGAGCAATTTCATAGTGTGGCAATTTCATCGTGGACACCCTTTAGATGTTGTTCCAGCACTGACTTTCGCTTCCGATACTGATAATCGTAGCAAGCCTAGCGGGTGGTACGGCTTTGATATAGAACTCAATATGAGTATCACTAGGGGATAATTGAAAATCTTAATTTTATCTCAATAAATGATCTAGTTTGTACAATAGACTGATGCAAATTGGGTACTGATTAGCGTGCGAAAATTTTAACTAATTTATTAAGAAGCTGACTTGGCACAAACCTTATGAAGTTTATATGGAAATTACTATGGAAAAACCAAATTTTCGTTCATATCTCTCTCAAAATTCACAACTACACTCTGCTTTTAGAAATGATAGATATGCTTGTAGGAAATTTCAGCTACAACTACTGGGCAAACTGGAGGGGCAACGCGGACTAAAGGGCACCCAAGCTTTCAAATAAACTGAAACTGAAACATAGAGCCATAGTGGGACCTCATAGCCTAGTCAGTAAAGGCACGGTATTACCAAGCCGGAGGCGGCGGGTTCGATTCCCGGTCCGGTCGAGGGAATCTTTCGGGTTGGAAATTTTCTCGACTTCCCTGGGCATAGAGTATCATTGTGCTTGCCACACAATATACAAATTCATGCATTGGTATTGGCATCGAAAGCTCTCAATTAATAACTGTGGAAGTGCATTTAAAACACTAAGTTGAGAGCACGCAATAAGCTAATATGCGCTAAGCAATAAGCTTGAAATGCGAATAAGAAGAAGAAGAAGAATAGAGCGGATCGAGGGGGGTGACACATCTAAATCTCAATTCTAGATGCTCAACAAATCTCACTCTAGCGAATCAAACTTCGAAAAATATTCTTTAATTTCTCTCACCTACTTGCATCGCGCATCATCTTTTTGCAGGAAATCTTCATAATCGACATCAATCTTCTTTCTATCTACTCAGCGTGCGCGCAGCTAACCACAGCAAAACACAATTTTTCCTGCATCGTAGATAGAGTCGCCCCCCTCGGAGCGGATCAACTTAAACACTGCACGCAAACCAAAAATTTATTACAATGAATGTTAGTTCCACTTCCTATCACCCTCTGTTCATGAACATCGCAGCGAATGTTAGAAGTTGACCGTACAGGCGATGTAATGGTTTTTTGTCTTTTTTATTTCGTATTCTATCTACGCTTTCGACTATACCAGTAATTTTTTTTATGTATAACATTGTAGAACGACGCACACAGTTGCCTCGAATCTCTCCAGCAGAAAAAGCATACGAAACCAAGTATGAGAGGAAATGAGCGCTTCGTGTTTGCTTTTAGGCTATCCATATTCAGAAGCATGGAGAGAGCAGTGGAGAAAGCACAGGTCTAATAATCGCAACGTTCGTGGTTTGAGTCCAGTCGGCAACCTTTTTCAAATTTTCTTTCGACATAGGGGAAATGTTGGCTTCGGCAATACCTTAACCTATTATCGTCAGGGGAGTAAACAAAGTCCTAGAGCACTCAAATTTGGCCAATAGTTGCTCTGAAACACAATGTATCCACATGCCAAAATTGAGCTCTCAAGGACGTTGTTTACCCCCTGACGATAATAGGTTAAGGTATTGCCGAAGCCAACTTTTCCCCTAATTCATTTCACTCACTAATACACTCCACATTTTCGGTCTTCAATTTTCTTGCATTGGACCGCAGCTAGGTATATCGCATCCTCGGTTCATGCGGTCTCCACTAACATCCTCTGATGATGAACCCCACATAATTGTAAGCGAATCTTACATCCCCCGGTTGGGTGTGTATTTCTCAAAGGTAAGATGGACTACGATGCGGATTGTGTGGTGTGGTCGATTTTCTGGCATATACCGATGGCGATGACGACTACGAGGAGCGTCCACCGAGCGCTCGCTGCGGTGCCGGAACGATTCGATGGTGGACAATGAAAGGACGATCTTGTCGGCAAGATGGCGATACCACCGATCGCTGAGAATCTGGAACAATTCCGGCAATGGTGGATTATACAAGGCTGAACTTGTCGGAAAGATGGTGGTACCACTGTTTAGTCTTCCGGTGACTACAACGGGATGGCAGCCGGCTAGCGTGTCAACCGTACGTCAACTATAGTGCGATGGGGGTTAGTTTTACAGGAGTGGTGAGTGTGATAGATAATCTACTGTTTTGGTTTGTATTAGTGCTTAGTAGTCACGATAACCCACAACCACAGCACTGGAGAGGTTTTCCAGGTGATTTTTTTTTATCGATTTTACTCAGTGGAAATATGGAGTTGTAAAAAAACAATTCAACGATCACAACCAACACCAAGGCACGTCCCGTAAACAGATTCGTACGAAAGATAAAGTATTAGGATCAACACTCAAAACACAGTGTTATCAACAATCAATACGAAACTAACGATTTTAAATTGGCTCACTACTTGACTAGCCTATTGGTCCCAAGCAAACGATTAAAGTACCCCATTCTAGTCGAAATTCTAGTACTACACAATGTTTGTTTTGATTCGCTATGAAAGTTTGACAGATAGAATGAGGGGTTCGCGGATTTTCCTATGTTTCGGGATGAATCGATTAGCTTGGGACCGAAGAGAGTACTAGAGCTGAGCCAAAAAGTTGAGCACGTTATTTCGGGACCTTCTAGTCTTAGAGTTACCTCTATGGTGTTATCTCGGCTGCCGACAGAAGCAGGTCACTCTCGATGTGTGTCACGCGATCGTCTGTTTACTCGGCAGCAACCATTGTGTGGTCCTCCTCATTGTTATTCATCAGCAGTTCTTTAGAAAGTAACCGTTTCGTGATGAGTGCTGACCACGTTTTGCGTCCATTGCTGCAATGAAAGCGCTCTGCCCCCTGTTGGAGATACTGCCAGACAATGAAATCACTGGGGCTCCTGTTCTGATGGAGGAGGCTTATGGGATAGCGGAAGATGAAGTGTTAATTGTGTTGTACCTTTTGACTATAGTTTTAAGATGTATTGTATAGTGAACAAGAATCCTCGGCTCTGTTAAGTTAATTCGATTGAGCCTTATCAGATATATTAATGAACAACAAACAGTCAAAACGTTATCCTTAAAATAAATTGTAAAGTAATATAGCAATTGTATTTTAAAGGAAGACCAAATTTATTCATAACAATGAAAAAGAACGATTAATCCAAAGGGGTAATCACCGCTGCACACTGTGCCGAAATACCGCATGGCACACTTTTCGGCACGTTAGGGCATACATGTAGAATACAAAAAAATAATATAAAATGGCATCACTGTCAAGCGTTTACGTTTTGCTAATTGTTGCTAAGAATGAATCCTTTGTTTACTCCAATGTAAAGCCCAATAAGTTCGTGGATTGCGACATGTCACATGCCGGCACCGGTGGTGTTGTGGTAAGCGTGACTGCTTTCTAACACCTCAATGGGTCTGGGTTCAATCTCAGCCGAGGTCGGTGGGATTTTTCTGAGGCATAAAAATCTCTGGTCACGTCTTCCTT